AACCCGCAACCCTCAACCCTAAACCTTAAACCCTCAACCCTAGTGAGCACCTGCCAAGGTCGGCAGCCGGTTTGGTTGGGCTGTGCCTGACAGCTGGCTCGGAAGTCCTGGAGGGCTGGGGGGGTTTACGGTTTAGGGGTTTAGGGCTTAAAGGGCTTAGGGCTTAAAGGGTTTAGGGTTTAGGGTTTAGGGCTTAGGGCTTAGGGTTTAGGGTTTAGGGTTTATTGCTGGGAGGCTTTACAGTAGGGCTTCCGGGGCTTAAAGGGTTTAGGGTTTAGGGTTTAGGGCTTAGGGTTTGGGGTTTAGGGTTTAGGGTTTAGGGCTTAGGGTTTGGGGTTTAGGGTTTTGGGTTTAAGGGTTTTGGGGCTTGGAGTTTAGGGTTCAGAGTTTCTGGGCCTTTGGGCCTTTCACAGGGCCGGGGGGGTTTAGAGTTTAAGGCTTTGGGTTTTGGGGCCCAGGGCTTGGCACTTTTGGGGTCTTGGGTTGAAGGGTTCTTATGGTTTTCCACGGTTTAGGGTTTAGGGTTCAAGGGTTCTTATGGTTATTCAAGATGTCATGGAAGGGGGTGGGCTTCTGCAAGGGGTGGTTGTATAGGGGGCTTAGAAGGTTTTTGGTTGGACGGTGATGCTCTGAGAAGTCACGTTTCAACCGTGTGCCCTTTTGCAGCAGGCTTCTCTCGCCCGGAACTGCCGTCGCCGTGAAGCAGCGCAGCACTGTGCCCTAAACCCCGAACCCCCTAAACCCTAAACACGCCCTCAATGGAGGTCTGGGGCTTACGGCTTAGGGCTGCAAGGCTCCACTGCACGGGAGCCTCAATCTGGAAACCGACAGGGAACCCTAAGCACCCGAACCCCGAGCCCTAAGCCCCTAAGCCCAAAGCCCTTCGGCCCTTAACTTAACTCCCGAACCCTTAACCCTGAGCCTATCAAGTTTGAACATGCCGGTTTAACATTGCTGTCAACGAACTCTGGATCTCTGTACAGAGTTAGAGCGTGGAGGCACCTTACTTGGAGGGTCGGGGGACTTAGTAACTAGTTATTTTATAGAGTTATAAGTATCATAACCCCAATTAGGATCCCTTCTAGGGTGCTTATAAGTCTACTTATGACCCACTTACTAAGTCCCCCGACCCGCCAAATAAGCCAATGGGGTAAGCTTCAGCACGGCTAAAACGACCCGGCTGCCCGGCAGCTTCAACCGAGCCTTTAGACAGAGAGTTTTCCACCCGAAGCATGCATTGCTGAGACGTGCATGTCAAGAGATGAACTTAACTCTAGTCCTCAGGATTCCTTTTTTACTTTCAATATGACGTATCCTACTGTAGGGGCCTTAGTAGCTAAAATAAGGTTTCGGGGCCCTTTAGTATAATTTTCATAAGGAACCCGCAAAATAGAATAGGTAATTATTTAGGCCCCTATATTAAGCACATATTCTGATGATTGAAGCCCATGCTCTCGGATGCCATCCTCTGGAAACTTGAACTCCGAGCCCATGCCATTTGCCTTGCACATGGATGCAAGTCGGTGGCTAGTTAGTTTCTCAGGATGTTTGCATCACGCAGCTGTGCCCCACAAGCCCCAAGCTTCACAGCGACTCTGAATTCACGTCGCGGAGAGATGCGGTGACTGCTAACGAAGGCTTGCAGAAGCCTGCGAACGCTGCACAGGGATGTAACATCAACTCCCCAGCCCCCAACCGGCCCCTTACGGTTTAGGGTTTAGGGTTGGGGTTTAGGGTTTACGGTTTACTTGAGACGAGAACCCTTCTCAATTTCTGCTGAGAACTAATGAAACATAACCTCTCAAACGTCCAAGGACCGGGTACCTGAACAAACCAAAACTTTTTGAAATCTTGCAAATAGCAAAGCACCGTTTAACACGGGAGCCTCGCAACATACTGACTGTCATGAGGTCCTAGCCGAGACTCAAAATAACTTGATCCTCATAAAAGGACCTCCTTCACTGAAGAACCTCTGCGAACCCTGTTTAACCCGCGAAAAAGCGAGCCCTCTAAACGCAAACACCCCAAAGATTGGCCTGGGCCGACGTGTAGGAAATCGGCATGCATCCCGAGGCTTGGGCGTTCCTCGTTTGAGATCCCGTCCAGGGTTTAGAGCCTATAAGGATTGCTATAATGAGGGTTTCTAGGGTTTGGGCTTTAGCGCTTTAGGCGTTTAGGGTTTCGAGTGTGGGGTTTTGGTGTTTGGGGCTTAGGCTTCAGGGTTCAGGGGGAGGGATGTATATGTGGTTCCCTTTTTGCTCCGAAACCCTAAACACTAAACCCTAAACCGTTCCAAGACTTCTTGGGGCAGAGGCTGAGGCCAGCAACGGTCATCCTTTGCACCCTGAGCGTGTTGAGAAGGCCACTTGTGCGAGGGCCCGGTTCTGGGGTACATTATACTATAATTATAACAAGGAACCCCCAGAAGACTATTGGTAGTTATTTAGGCTTCTGTATTAGACATAGCTAGCATTCTAAGGACTGTAAAACGGGATACTGCTCAATGCTCGAGCCCTGAAATGAAGGCCGCAACTGGCCGCCTTGGCTGGCACCCTGAGATGGTCTGCGAGGCCTGAAGCTCAACACCTGCAACACCTGAAGAAGCCTTGTTGGTTTAATGTAAGGGCCTGAATAATAATTAGAATAGGGTTTTGGGGGGTCCTTATTATAAGTATAGTATAATACACCCCCCAAACTCTATTCTAATTATTAATGCTCCTGTACTAGGCCAGTAGCTTCTGCTGATAGTGCTCCCCTGAAGCCCAACCCTGTTTACACAGACTTGTACATGCCCAACCCTAAAACCGAGACCCTGAGCCGTTTTTTTCCGAAACCCTTAAGGCCCTAAAGCCTCTTTAAACCCTAGAGCCTAAGCCCTCGGTCGTCACTTCGGTGCATCTCGCGACTGTAGCCATTTTTTTGTGTCCGACGACCCTAGGCTCTGTACCTAAAGCCCCAGGCCCGAAACCCGATACCGTGAACTCGTGAACCCCTAAACCACTTTTGTTTGGGACTTAAGGGTTTCGACTCGCACGCTCGCACAGGCAGGCACGGCGGTTTAGGTTGCATCCAGGCCTCTGGCACCCCTAAACCCGAAACCCTCAAACCCTTCTCTTTCGGCACTGGACTCAGGTCTTGCCAAACCCTAAGCCCCTAAACCCTACACCCCTTGACCCTGTTTCCGAAACCACCGAAATTTTCGAGATCCCCGCAGCTCTGATCCCTTTTTGCCGAGGCTCTCCGTGCTGTAGAGCCTTGGCTGACTTCTGAACCCCTCCTAGAGGTTAAATTGTTAGCCTACTTATTTTAGTTCATATAGAAACCCAAAAAGTACCCTATAAGCCCTAAACCCAAAAAGTACCCTAAGCCCCAAACCCAAAAAGTACCTTAAGCCCTAAACCCTAGAGAAAGGCTCCGATCACCCTACAGCCTAACCCCGAAAGAAGAAGGCCCCTAAACCCTAAACCCTACACCCTACACCCTTTTTTTGAACCCAGACTCTGCCAATCAGCAGCACCCTAAACCCTAAACCCCACACCCTACACCCTTTTTTGCATCAGGACTTACACCCAAAACCCCCACCCTAAGCCCTAACCCCACACCCTAAGCCCCAAACCCGAAAGAAGAACGCCAAGGAGCATGTTCAAGTTCCCCGGCAGAGGGGCTCCTGGGTCCCACCCGGCGCTGCCCTGCTCGACTTGGTGGCTTTCGGGGGGTTTCGGCTCACCCTCCCGCACAGTGCAGGCTTGTAGGGTTTTTTTTTGCCTCCTACATGGCTGAGCGAGTCGCGAAGTAGGGAACAGACGTCTTACTGGCAAATTCAAACTTGTTTTTTTTAGGGTTTAGGATTTAAGGTTTAGGAGGTTGAGGGGCTAGAATGGGCTAGAAGCACAAGGGTTTAGGGGTAGCTTCAGGTTTAATGCTAGGGGCCTAGGGCACAAAGGTTTAGGGACGTTTTCTCTGTTGTTCTTGGCTTTTGGCGGTTACGGTTTGTGGATTTGGCGGGGTTGGAGGGTCTCCAGTGATTGGCATCCTCACTACGAGCCCCAGGCTTCGAATCTCCTGGGGCGCCAAAGACAAAAACAGTTACCCTGCTATGACCGCTTCGTGCGACATGGTCGTGCTCTTCTTTGAGGCTTATGCTACACCAAAGCACTTGGGTAGTTGTCAAAAGTATGGTCCCTTTTGGGGCATCCTAAATAATAGGTGCCGTATTATAATAAGGACCCCAAAAAGAGACCCTAATTTAGGGAACTACCCACTTGACAAAACTTCATTGCTTCCGGAGAAAGGCCCGCCTCGACCGGGTCCAACTCCCACATCCAACAGTTGGTGCCCGTTGGATTTCCTGTGAGGCTCTCGTTTCGGCTCTGCCGTGTGTTGGGTCTTTCGGGGATTACCGTTTACCCTAAACCGTCTCAAGGCTTATGAATGCATGGGTTCCTTCCAGGGATCCTTGTAAGGGATCCTTTCAGGCTTGGGATTTTTTTGCAGATACAGCTCATCCTGTAACCGGCATCGAAAACGGCACAATCACAAGTGTCGCAGTGCCCATGAAATCCCTGGAAGTGGTGGGCCTCGACGCATGCACGCATGACATCCTGATCTCAACCTGCGCCGACATGAAAGGACACCCCGAGGACCTCGCCCGATGCTCTGTCCTTGACCTTCGAGGTTAATTCCCAACTGGGACAGCATGTAGAAGGCGCCATAGTAAAAGTTTTCAGCGCTGAGGATCCACAAGCCTGCTGGCGGGGTCACGCCGCCTGGGCGAGGATGGATAGCTTATGTGTGGTAAACCCTAAACCCTAAACCATAAACCCTAAACTCTAAACCCTAAAGTCGTCGTTTCGGGACAACGTCGAAAATTATCCACGCAGCCAGATTGCGCGGGCCATCGGCTCCCAAACCTTTTGCCCATGGAGCGTACCTCCAAGAGGAAGTGAATGCAAGAATAGATGCAGGATTACGCAAGTGCTAGGTACATGTTTTGAGCATGAGCCAATAGCCTGACGTGATCTTCAGAAGGAATATGGCGCATCGTGATGACGGAATCATCTGATTAATGGCATGATATGGCATGCTTGCTTCGAATCCCAGGGCAACACTCATTCCAAACCTCCACAGCACTTACAAAGATCTGCTTGCTATCCTAGGAGCTTCGTTGTCCAGTCGCCGGCACTCCATCGAAACGATGTGTTGCGAGCCTGGTGGGGTTCTTAGGGGGTAATTGTTGCTGTACACCAATACCTCTGATCAATCAGCCCGTTGTGGCGAGTGTTGCCTTTTGTCCAAGTGCAACAAACCAATAAGTAGCGACGAAAGTGCGACCAAGCTGCTGAAAAACCAGTACCATCCCAGAAATTGCCATGCACACCTACCACATTGCGCAGCTGGTGTCATGCAACGTATTCTGAACAGATTGCTTCCGGCACGGTTTGACAAGCCTTGTGCATCAATGTCGCCAACTGTGGAGTCCTCCATGAGAACAAACTCCCTTGGTAAAAAAACTGCTGTGGCCAGGATACTGACATCATGCTCCATTCGCTACTCGTGAGCAGCTGCAAAGGCTACACACCAGCAGCAATGAAACTGACACTAATCAAGGCCGTGCGTCTGACCATTGTATTGGTATGCAGCCACATAGTTGATCTTCGGAGACCCTTTGATCACGCAGTCGGGCAGATTGGCACAGAACTGACCCGTGCCCTGCGTCTCCTTCCAAAGCTTGCAAACGGTGCATGAGATTGTGGTGTGCATCAGTGGCATACAGAGGTACTTAAACTAAAATCCTAAACCCTAAACCC